CGAATGTGAAATTTTATTTCTACGGTAAGACGGTGGTGGGCCTCCTTCTCGGTCGAAAGGAAACTAACGTAAGGAAACGTGTATGGGAAATAGAAAAGAGGATGAATATCTGACAAGAGAAAAAGGGGAGAGACTGTAAACGGAGGAGAGGAGGGCGTGACAACGACTGCTCTTAGCATAATAATATTTACTATTAGAAGAAACTAAGAGACTTGAATATTCTATGCGGTGGCCTCGCCCAGGCCTTGCACAACGACTTGCAGTCTCGCACCGGCTCTATAATTATGCACGGGGATGGGACGTGCGCGGACGCGTCTCTCTCTCTCTCTCTCTCTCTCTCCTCTTCTTTCCTCTGTTAGCAGCTAGGATCGTCGCTGAGAAAGAATGCACGAGAAGTTTAGGATAGAAATTAATATGATTCTTTGGAATGACGTTGCACTTTTAATCGCGACGCGTTCTTTCAATTGAAATGACGCATTTTGCGAATTTCTCGCGACACTTTTACAATGATTATCTCGAAAACAATGCGAAAGAAGGACATCGGTGATCGTCGTTGATTATCGCGACGTGGTGGAAGACGTTGCACGCTCGACTGATACAACTATGCCGAGTGAAAGTTAGTCGTAGAGAATTACGTCAATAGTCGGGCCGGTGAAATAAAAAAAAAAAAAAAAAAAAAAAAAAAAGTAAAAAAGAAAAAAAGAAAAAAGCAAGAAAGAAAGAAAGAAAAAAAGTCACGCGTCTAGTAGGAACTTTGAAACGAATATTGTCCGTGCATCTGTGAGAAGAAATCGTGAGCTCGTGGTACATCACGCAATACGTGTTCGTATCCTCGACTAATGGCATTAAACACAAGGTACGTACCGTACGTACGTTCTACGTATATATACGTACTGAACCTCGATATATTCCCGTTCTTGCGTAATCGCCGCTGTCTCGTTCTCCTAGTACTATTCGTCTCTCTTTTCTCTCTCTCTCTCTCGCGCGCGCGCGCGCGCGCACGCTAATCCTCTTTTTTTTTTTTTTTTTTTCTAAATACCGTTCGCGTTTTATTCGACGGCAAGTTCTCTCCGAACATCGATTCGCCGCCGTTCCTTTTATCCTCCCGATCTCGAGCGTGTCCTTTTGTTTGAGGCCGAGCACGCTCAGCGATCTATCGACGGCACGCTAATTAGTAATTACCGATCGAAACGATCGATGCGTTTACGTGTCGACGAACGTCGAGCGGTTTCTCCTGGAACCCGGAAAAGCCTTCCCATCTCGCGAGTCGAATTTACAACGGTCCTATTGTTTCCACGTCGAAACGATTCACGTCTCCTTTTATTTTACGTAATTTGCCGTTCCCCTCCTTATGCCGCCCACATTGACGGCTCGTCGTCGATCACTCCTCGCGACGTATCGTTTGTATTTAACGACTCGATTCTCGTCTCGAGCTCGAAGGAGGTCTTTGTAATTTCCCGCGAGACGATTCGAATTCCAGCGCGCGTGCCGCCATAATACCTACATAAATACGCCTGCGTGTACTTTGACGAACGTAACGTTACCTACTTAACTTTCTCTCGATCCGCTAACTTATCCTCCTTTATCGCGCGAATTATAATCCGCGAAATAGGGCAAGCGTCGATGTTCTTTGGAAACTTCCGTCATAGACCTTTTATATTTTTCATCCGCTCGAAATATCGTCGAACAATAACGCTCGTCGTCCTACACGTCACGGAACGCGCGCATTTTCAAAAGCATGTGCTTCGGCGAATCTAATTTATCGCGAGTACAATATTCGCTCTCTCTCCCATTTTCTTTCACTCTTGGAAGAAAGAGCACGTAGTAGTAGACGTTGGACAAGAAATTAAGGTTCGAGTTCGCGTGCTTTTGTGGGCGTAATTGCCGCGACATACGCGCGCGACCGCGTACCTAAGACTTTGATTATCAAGCACGAAGAAACAAAACGTGACCGTACATGTGCCGAGTTAACGGTAAACGTCTTGAGAATAGAATGCCGTACCTTATTAATCGTTTCGAGTTTGGATTAATGCCGTGGTGGGCTCCTCGCAGGTTTCGTTCCTAGCGAGGTGGGGCTTTCTTTCTAACGAGAGTTATCTCCCTCCCCCCCTCCTCCCAACCCTCGTTTGCTTTATTTTTTTAACAGAAGATAGCGCACGCTCGCGGCGTTCCAACTTTACGATTTGACGATTCTTATCTCGCCGTTGATGGCGAACGGAAAACAATCGCCTCTCTCTCTCTTTCTGTCTGGGAAGCCTCAGGCCCTTTACGTAATTACGCTCCGTTTGCGGAAACGTCTCGCGTTATCGTAGATGTAATTAACTTTGATGTCGTTATGGCGTCAACTACGATACCGTGCGAACGATCCTCGAGGCAGTAACTAACTGGTTCTTAGCGAAATCATAGAATCTGGCGTTACTACGATGGATAAAGAGGGAAAAAAAAAAAAAAAAAAAAAAAAAAAAGAAAATGATTTTTCAAGAATCATTAGAAAATTTGAAAAGGCGGGATAGATACTCTTAGATACTCGCGAGAGTTCTACGTTTAGAAACGACTTTACTGTTCCCTAGCTTCATCTTTATTCTCGGATGATCTTGGGTAGTACGTAAGAAAAAGTAGACAAGATCTCGTGGAACGAGAAAGTGCGTACGCGCGAGTGCCGATCGCATAATTGCATGAAATTGGCCGTGGTAAAATAATTGACTTACAACGTATTTGCTCACATTCTTTCGCGACAAAGAGAAAGATATAGGCGTACGCTTACCATTCGGAGAAAAAGATGCTCGGTGGGGAGATAGGGAATGGAAGAAGAGGAGGAGATAGAGAAAAGGGAAAGAGAAAATGAGGAGAGGACGAGAATGCTTTTCCAGCGCGAGGAACGCGGCATCCGGTGTATTCATACGTAGCCTAACCTACGGATCTGCCTCGGTTCTCTGTTTGCGAGCTCTCTCCCTGACATTGCCTTTAATTAGGCATCAAGATAGAACGCACGCGATCCATAATTCGATATACGCCACTTTCTGCCAGAGAGGGGAACAAACGCTTAACGAATAATTATTCATTTTGCGGCCGGACGAGGACGCAGACTTCTCCGTAACGAATCCTTTCGGCCAATAATTAGCGACTCGATTTCCAAAGACGGAAAAGATCCTTTCAATTTCATTAGCGCGAGCATAAAACACGTTTATTATTTTGCATTAACGTTTTTTCGTCGAGCATTAATAAATAAACGCTCGTACGTTTCTATCGTTTGTTGTTTCTTACCGCACGAGAGACCCCGACGATTGTCTCGAGAAAGCCGTTCCACTCTCCTTGTCGCGATGCCGCAAAAAAGTCATTCACTGCGACGAGAGAAACAATTAAAGAAGTTATATTCGGTGAGACGAAAAATAAATGCTTTTCATACCCCACCCTCCTCTTTCTATCGATGTGCGCGCGTTCGCGTTGAACGCGCATACCCGTGACACGCCCAGGCCGACCAGGAAACCTAACGTTTGCGCTCTCTCTCTCTCTCTCTCTCTGTGAGATACTAATCCTATCTATCCTGGGCAACATATTTACCGACGTGTCACCTAGTACCACCGAGCTCATGCACGATTTGCGGACCATTCCGTTGGATGCTTCGCGAAAGATGCGCACGATAAGCACGAGAGGACGACGTAAGATTTTCTTTGTAGAGGAACGAAGAGAGAGCCTCTCTTTAGTTTCTTCGAGTACCTGCGGATAAACGAAGCAACGCAGAGAAGAAGAATGGATGGTACGCGTAGTCACGCGTCTGCATGTGCGTGCGCGCGATCGAACACGTGTAAGTGCTCGCGTATAATTGCGAGCAGGTGCCACATTAATCTTGCGGCCACCGTAACCCATTTTCTTCGCTCTCCTATCCGGCCGTAGCCGCGCCGCGGATAATATGAAATAACGCAAAGAGAGAAGAGAGAGAGAGAGAGAGAGAGAGAGAGAGAGACGGAGTGATATATATAACTCATTACTTTGTAATCAGGCAATCCATTTTCTCTTGGAAAATTTAAAACACGATCACCCGTCTCCTCGATTTACTTTTATCGATCGTTCGTTAAAACTTTCGAGTGTTCTCGTCCAAAGAACTTTCTTCGAAGAAATTTTATAATTGAAAAGTTCTCTCTCTCTCTCTCTCTTTCTCGAGAGAAATTTTTCATCTTCATCGATTCTTCGTGAACGACTTTTTCTTCGCTCTCTCGCTCTCCCTCCCCTTCCCCCACCCCCGGCCATTCTCGTTTCCACTCGCGACTTAAGTTTGGCGTGATTCACGAGCGGATACATCAACGGAACGATATAAACCGTAAAAAGGAGAGAAAGAGGGAAGAGAGAGGAGAGTCATCGGGGTGCAGAGAGGACGGGGCGCGTCGTAAGAGTCTCGACAGGCTCGTCGAGTTGAAGCAAAGATGGGAGAGGGAGAAGGAGAAGGTACGAAGGACGCGCAAGGTGCCATGAATGCCACTTAGAGGATTATTAACGAGCGACCGATGCTTAGGCCGGCCGATGGCGATGTGCTTTCAGGCTATTCGAAATTCTCGGCTACGCGAAGGCTGTTTAACGACGAGCAAGTCGAGATTTACGTCGAGATCCTAGAGGCGAGTCCTTTCGTGCAAAGTGGGCGGTATAATCGTTGATAAACCTTTCGAGGACCTCTTGACATCGAGCAGCGTCGAGACGAGTAAAGGAGGAAGAGAGGAAGGCTCGAAAAGACGAGGGGGAAAAGAGCTGACGAGGAAAAGTCACTGCCCTTGGTGTCAAATTTCTAAACGAATCACCCAGTCGAAAGATATCGGACCGAAGATATTCATCTCGCAAAAAAGGAGATCTTGTCTCTATCCTCTTCACTTCCTCTTTTTCCTCTTTCTATGGGTCTTTCTAACTGATCGCGAATGAGATTCTAAATTTTGATCGATCGTACCCGCGATATCATCGCTACCGCTGATAGATGAATAATAAAATGCGCCTTTTTCTATCTTCTGTTGCAGCCAGAAACTGTGCCACAAGCACGGATCGACATGACACGAGTCCTGGAGGTCGCAGCCGCGGAGGATATCACCGGGCATCCCTATAGCCTGGCCGTGACCTCGCCCGAAGGCGTGACGTTCGTTAAGGGCACGTGTCGAGAGGAAACGAGATGGTGGGCCGACGTTCTCCAGGTGTATTCGCGAAACAAAGTACGTCGATCGCTTCCTCTTACCTTCTTTACCTCCCCGTAAAAGTATATTACCTACCGTACGTAAGCGTCCATTCCCTTCACCGAGCGGCCCGTATGTTCCTCGATCGATCGTCTTGCTCGAATCCTGCTGGTGTGTTTGAAAGGTTTACGATCGTGCGCGTATCGATTCGGTTACGCAAGAAACGATCGATCGAGTAAACCTCGTCGTCGCTAACCTGCCGTTGTTGTAAACGCGCGAACGATCGCATATGTTAGGAGGCCAAGGCGATGCGTACGTGATATCTCATGCCGAGAGAGCACGTATTTGCTCGCCTATCTACGTAGGTATATGCGCTCACGCATATGGAGAAGGTGAACGTACAGGAAATGCGAGGGTTCTTACGAATTTTTTCATTTTTTATTCTTCCGCCTTCTTTGCGTCCTTCTCTCCTTCTTCCTTTCTCGCGCCGATGTAAAAGCGATGCAATTGTTATCTCCGTTATAGGAATCGTAAAAGTAATTATTTTGACGAATCGCGTACTCTTCCTCTCGAGAACGATAAAATTCCACCAGATTTTTATAACGCCTCGTCGCGTTATCTTCCTTCGGTGGATGCGAATACATCAGTAATGAATGAGATGTGAGAGAGAGAGGGGGGGAATTTTAGTAGATAATTAGCCTGCATCAGAGGACAATCCCAGTGGCGATTTTGATTCGTTTGGATGGTCTCAACATTATCGATACACGACATCGAGCACGGCTAGCTCGTAGATCTTCAGCCGCCTCGGCCGTTTACGTACGGTCGAGATTATTGCTTCGGACACACGTCGGCGCTCTTATGAATTATGCACGCGGCGAGGGCTACACCTTCGTGCAACATTATCAATGTTATTGCTTATCTGCCATTATTACGGCTGCCTACAATGGACGATTCTCTTTCTCTCTCTCTCTCTCTCTCTCTCTCTCTCTTTTATTCTATTCTACGTTTCTCCCCTTCATACGAAGAGAAGATATCGCCTACGTAGAAATTCTAGGACATATCGTGCTATGAAATCCCTTCGTAGGATGATACGAATTGAATTTTTCAGGGTCGACACAAACGAAACGCCACGTTTCCTGGCAGCCAAACGACGATCCTCCAAGTTACACCGGCGATTCGAAGTAAGTCGATTTGTCGATTTGTCGATTTGTTAAAGTTTTCTCGATATTTTATTTTCGATGGGTCGTTATTTGAAGGTAACACGCCGAATCCACCTCGACCGCGCTTCAATAGCTGCCGATCAGAACCTCGAAGCAATGCCATGTGGATTACGGAAACAACTAGCGGCTCGTCGGAACTTTGCTCTTCCGTATTTTCGTCGACACCTTCTTCGGTCACTACCAGCGTGTCGACGATGACGAGTTGCTCGACGAATTCTCTTCTGAGTAATGGTAACGTGGACAGCAACAACGTTTCGCCACTGCGAAGCAGTACTCCTTTGGAGAACGGTACGAACGGCCCTTATTTAACGTCGTCTTCGTCGTCGTCGTCGTCGTCGTCGTCGTCGTCGTCGGCAGCAGCCACGTCGGTTTCCATGAACGGAAACGTCGTATCCGTGAGCACGGCTTACACGACGACACCAACGAGCACCGTCGTCGTGTCCGCCTCGAATACGACGATCTCGAGCACGTTGTCCAGCAGCGGTTCTAGCACGACTTTAACCGAGAAACCACCAATGATACCAAGCGAAGTTAGATCAATGTACAGGGATCAACCCGCCAGTGGATCGTCTCCGCCCACTAGAGACAAATTGTGCGCCGAAGACAAGGCTAGACGTAGGTCGAATCATCAACAGGGAGAACATGGATCCAATGAGAAGTTAGGTCGGTGTCGAATTTCTAAAGTTCGTCGTACCACTTCGTTTTCTACTTAATATTAATCGATAGATTAATCCTTTCCCCGTAGATGACGACGCTTGTCGAAGAATATTCTTAGAACACGAGAGAGAACGGGAAGGTAAATTACGGGATATTGCCGCATCATTGACTCAACCGCGAATTCGCAGAATCAAGCCTAGAAACTCCGAGCCAACGAGGGACGTAGTCGATGCCTCTAATGCGGTTCATCGAGACAAACTCGTGAGTACTATTCGATGTATAATTGATCAAACGATACATATCTTATCGATTTTTTTTAATTCGTAGGTAAGGGGCGATCCCGATGGTTGCGGATTAGATATTTCCAGCATTAGATATTCGCCTACCTCCGAATTGAGGGTCGATTTACCGGCGGAAAATGTACTAAACATTAAGAAGGGTTGGCTAATGAAGCAAGGTTTAAATAAGGTAAATATTTTCCAAAGCCGAAGTAGAAAGATTTTTTTGATAGTTTACAATCGGGGTTTCTCTTGTTAGGAGTGGAACAAGCATTGGTTCGTTTTACGAGGTTGTGGCCTGATGTACTATAGAGATCCTTGCGCGGAGGACAAGGGCATCATGGATGGCGTTATAGACTTGAATACCGTTACTGCGGTTACGCCGTTGCAGGTCGCAAGAAATTATGGATTTCAAACCGTGGTAAGATGCGCAACAGGAAAATTATACCCGAGCAGTGCTTCGGAATTACTTTTTCTTAATTCGGATATTTCAAGATCGTCAACGTTGTCGTCGTCGTCGTCGTCGTCGTCGTCGTCGTCGTCGTCGTCGTCGTCGCATAAGAGAAAGACGTTTCGAATGATAACTCGTGATTTTCCTGATGCAGGCCTGGGACGAAAGAGGTAGCACCGTCTTATCCGCGGTGACGGCCGGCATTAGATCCAGCTGGATGTCGGCTATTAGAAGAGCGGCTAATCTGCCCGATCCCGATAGCAATGGGGAGTCGTTGCCGATATGCTCGGACAATCAACAGGATATTAATTCTCAATCACCGACAACGTAAGCGATAAGTTTCTCATTTTCGACAACGCGTTCTATCGCAAGACGTCTTACAATTAGTATTAAAAAATTCTCCATCCATAAAAGGTCCATCAACGATCGCGAAAGGGATCCCGTAATTCCTCCGACGTCGAATACGCCTCGATCGGTCCTATTTTCCTCCGACGAAGAATACAGAACTGCATCGGAGGGCGGACGAAGAGAATCCGGTGACTGGTCGGAAATTCCGGTTTCGCCGCCTCTTATTAGAAACGGCGATTGGTCTTTACCTTTGAAAGGATCAAACTGGTCCGACACGACGAATCACGAGTGGTCGGAATTACCACCGTCGCCGCCATTGACGAGAACGGCTCTATCGAGGGTTAAAGCGAGATCGAGGTCCAGTTCGAGATCACGCGTTTACAAGAGGAGTCGTAGCTCACCCCCGAGTTCCCGACGAAGCACCCTGGACAGCGTAAGATCGGAGGACCTTATGATGGCCTGCTGCGAGTTAGGAGAAGACGAGGAGCAAAGCAATGGGCACGTTCAAAGCAATAGCCGTCTCTCCGGTTCGAACGACAGTCCCTTGATCGTCGAACTCTTGGAGAATCAAGTTTCCCTATTACGCGATCAACTCGATCACAATCAGTCCCATCCAAGCGCACTGCTAGTCATCGTCGAGCGTCAAGAAAATGAGATAGAGAAATTAAAGTCACAATTGAGTACAGCGCGATTGGACGTGGCCAACGCCGAGAAAGAATTATCAAGATTGAGACAGCAAAAGGCAGAGGCGGTGATCAGGGAAAAACAGGTGGAAGAATTACTCGGTACGATACAGAGAACGGAACAACAAAGGAACAAGGATCTCGACGATTTGGAAAAATTGAAAAAAGTTTATACGAGGGAGAAGGAGATACTAGAATGCAAATTATTGGAAACCGAGGCTATTCTTAGAGAGACGAGCGAACGATGCGAGATGCTTACGAACGAGTTGACTTCGAGTCACAGAAACGTCCAACGTTTGCAGGAAGAGGTGCAGGCACTTGGCGAAAGACTCTCTCAAGGTTTTTTTTTTATATTTATTGCCTCCTTTACTACGTAGACGACGATAAGAGCAGACTTTATTAACTCGTTTATTCCTTTCCCTTTTATCATAGGTATCGAAGAAAACGAACGACTGTACAATAGAGTCAGAGAGCTGGAAGAAAGGGGTGGCCTTCCCGGATCGCGAGAACGAGGTAGAAGCTTCGATTCTCTTAGCGATCTGACCAACATCGATTTGGACATGGATCTCAATATGTTGGACAAGGAGAGGTAACAGATAGCACAAATCGATAACGCGTATTTTAACGCGTTACGACTCCTTTTTTTTCCGAATCGAATAAACATATCGTTCGCGTGTATCTTTTTTCTTTTCTTTTTTTTTTTCTTCTTTTTTGTTTTTTTTTTTTTTTCTCCTTTTTTTTTTTCTTTTAGGGTCGTAGAAGAGTACGAAGAGTTGAGAGTTCGATTCGAGAAGGCCATATCCGAGATACGTGCGATGCGTAAAGAATTGCGCGAAGCCCACTCGACGCAGGATGCATTGGAATTGGAGATTTTTGCTTATAAGCAGGATGCCATCGGTGTTAGCGAAACGAATCAAGCGCAGGTACAATTGATGGCAGCTCGTATTCAGGATTTGACCAACAAGCTCGCCGCCAGCGAGAAACAAGTTAGAACGCTTAAGCAGAAATTGACGAAGGCGGAAACCAGGGACAAGAGGAGATCGCTCTCCTTGAAGGGAAGGGAATCTTTTCAGATATCTCAGGAAATGGAGGATAAGCTTTGCGACTTGGAGAATAAGATTTGCGCTATAGAACGCGGTGGTAAGGGCTGCGGCGTTGGTTCGAATTCGAAGGAGTCGAGTCCGAATTCGAAGAAGGAGAAGAAGAAGGAGGGGAAACATTTGGATCGCGCTAGATTGCGCAGAAAGTCGTTGGACAGTGCCACCAGTTCGGAACCTATGAAGGTGTTGATCAGATTGAGCACGTTGGAGACCAAAGTCGCGAGCGTGGCCGAAAATATGGCGAGCGACGTCGAGAAAGACTCCAGCGAATGCAGCGAGGTCAGCGCGACTTCCGTTGGCAACGAGATCCCCTTGGAATTTCTCTCGAGATTGAAGAAATTGGAGAGAGCCGTGTGGAAGTCGAAGCGACGATTGGAAAAGTGTTTGGGCTCGACCCAAACTGAGGACAAGGCGGAGAAGTGCTTGCGCGAGGTCAACGACATATTGGACTCGTGCTTAGAGTGTAAGAAGGGCCAAGTCGGTGGTGGTCAAATCGGCGAGTCGATAGGAGTAGTGGTATGTAGACTAGAGGCTATACTTAAGGATAAATTAAGCGAACTCACGAAGAGACGGCAGACGCTCGCGTCGAACGACCGGTTGGACGACAGGGAGAAAGTAAAGTTGATCGCCGAAAGGATAGCCTTCGAATCCGTGATTCTTGGACGATTGAAGCGGGCGATCGGCGGTGGTACCTTAGGCGACAAGAGCGCCGTTCTCGGTGAATTGCTCGAAACTAGTCAGCTTGCCTCAAGCTTAAAGCATAAGATTCATGGAACCAAGCCCAAAACGTACCAAAACACGAATTACGTTCAGTATCTTTCTAGGGTCTTAGCTAATAAGTTAGTGCTCGTAGGAGGCGTTCTCCCTGTTAAAACGGAGGCGTCGCTTCAACTTTGCAACGCTCGAGCCGAGTGCTTGAACTTTTTGTTGCAAAAGCAAAAGGAAGTCGACGGTATCGTCGGACGTTACAAGGAAACGAAATTGAGAGAGCTGGCGGAGGCCTTGGCGATCGAGACGCTTAATCTCTCGGATCAGGAGGATCATCATCTCGCCAAGCAAATAAACGTGTCGAGCAAGAAATTGCTCGAGGATAAGCGTATTCGCGAGGCTTGGGCTCTTGCCCAGGAGACCGTCAATAAGGAGCTCGTGCAAAGCGAGGTGTCGCGCGTTATATTGCACTGCGCGCAGATCTACGAACAGGATATCGCGTCCGTCCTTGACACTTGTCTAAGCTTCAACGAGGCTGGATCCGTAGGTTTGGAGAATTGGGCGGACGAAACGCGAACGAAATTACGCAAAGAGATTCAATTGTCCGTAGAGGAACTCTCGGAGGTTTACGAGGATACTCTTCGTACGATGAAGCGTAACAAGGGCCTCGTAAGTACCATCTCGGAATACGATTCTCATAGACTTTTGACGGATTACGCCGACGTGATCGCGCACAAAGCTTTAATAGATGCCAGAATAGCTCTTCTCCAGAAGAGCACGAAACCGTCGACCTCTTTCAACAACAACAACAACGGTCAAAGCGGTCAGAATTTTCTATCTAGTCTTATTAAAAACGAGGACCTTCTCTATCACTTGACCGAGGATAACAACTCTGGTAAATTCGATAACGATCTCGTTCTCGAGGCAGAGTGCAATTATCTTTATCGACAGTTTGCCGAGGAATGCGAGGATAGGATATCCGGTAGGCAGGAGTCGAAGGAACGAATTAAAACGATAGGACAAAATTTATTATATCTCGAGGAGGACATAAGCGGACTCGCCAAAGTTATAAAAGAAAGGGCGGTGGGAGGAGAAAAGGCGGCTAAGACGATCTGTCAGTTTGAACGTTCGAGCAACGGACTCGCGGATTGGACGAACGTTTGCGAAAAGTGTTCGCAATTAAGAGAGCAAATCAAAAGACTCGCCGCTTACGTCGATCTTATGTCCTGCAAACAGTGCGAGGAACTGCAGGAGACCATAGAGAGGCTAACGGCTCAACACGAGGAAGAGCTGGAAACGCTCAAGAGAAATCAGGAGAAGGATATAATGGACATAAAGGGTGAACTCGACAGTCAAAGGCAATCCCTTACGACGCAGTACGAGCAAGAAGCGGCTAGTCTGCGAGAAAGGGCGAGAAAATTGGAGTACAGATTGAACGCAATGGATTCCGAACATTCTGCTCACGTCAACGAGCTACGTGCCGTTTATCAGAGATCCATAAGCGCCGAACTCGATACCGATGCCGAGACGAGAAAAAGATACAAGGAGGAGATCAAACAGCTCAGGGCACTTTGCGAAAAAGGATTGTTGGCCATGGAGAATTCACACCGACGTATTATTTCAGAAATGGAGGAAAAGCATCGGCAGGAATTGGAAAATTTGAGAGTCGAGAAGGAGCAAGCACTCTCGGAAGAGACCCAAGCGACTTTGGCCGCATTAGATGCCATGAGAAAGGCGCACGAGCACGAGGTACAAAAGGAGATTGCCAAGTTCAAGCAGGAATTCATCAAGCAGATGCAAGCTCGAGAGGATATCGGTGAACTGCATAAAGAACACGAGTAAGTATGGTGGAAGTGAGTTTTTTTTTTTTTTTTTTTTTTTAAGGAGCTGATCCTTAAACAAAACTTACGAATTATTATTCTTCAGGGAAGAAATGGAGGAAATAAAGCAAGAAATTCTTTCATTGTCTGCCAAATATTCATCGAAATGCGTCGAGTCTGCCGCTTTGGAGGAAAAAGTAGGTACTCTTACGAAGCAACTTGCACAAGCGCAACAGCATATAATGCAGCTAGACGCTAGGAACAAGCAGCTGAGGGCGCACTTTCTGGTGGAATGTAGCGACGCTGGTATCAATGATACTATTCAGATTTTAAAAAGCGGAGAGAATGACACAGTCGAACCGAAGGAGGAACTTTACAAGCTACCACAGCACATAAAAGTATGTAAAATTAGGCTTGCCTAATCTAGGATATTTCATTCGTGAAGAAGTAGACACGTGGTTAACCAACAATACAATACGTATATCTCGTAATTATCATTAACTCTGCTGCGATCGATTACATGTTGCGTTAAGGAAAAAAAAAAAAAAAAGAAAAAAAAAAGCAGACGTTAACGTGTAATCGTGTATCCATTAGCTAACATCGATTTCTAGCTATTCCGTGAATTCGCATTAGCCGTACTGACGCATATTTTCGATATTTCACTAACAGCATGGGGACACCCTTCGTGAAACGACCGGTGTACCACAGAAATCTTCGTCACTAAACACCTCGCCAGCGTACTCACCGCAACGTGTAAGAAATAATCACGAGTCGATGCAAGGAACGAGCGAGGAGCAGAAATTAACGAGCGAACGCCCAAAAAGCTCCTTATCCACGCTTCAAAAGTCCCTTTCGGCGGATAAACCGAGCAGCTTCTCGTACAAGCTCGAACGAATTAAATCCATATCGTTGCCTTACTCGAATAATTTAGTTAGGCCGGGGAGTAGTACTGCTATTTCATCGCACGATAGGAAAAATACGATCTTAACTCAAAAGAACGAAGAACATAATGGTATAGCATCGCCATTATGGGACAGCTTAAGACCAAGGAGCGGATTGCCCCATCAGTATCAAGGTACAGAAGAGAGGTGAATGGAAACGTATCAAAAAAGCATCTCTGGTGGGTGGTGGTGGATATGCATCTGTATTCGGATAAAAAGTGCTGCGCTTTCCTTTTTTTTTTTCCTTTTCGTTTTTTTTTTTCTTCCTTTCTTTTTTCCTTTTTTACCAAGTATATTCCGCATATTCGATGTATATACGAGTAAATTGGTTATATCGAGTTTTATACCGATGGAAAAAGTCGCGTCAAATTGCTTTGTTTGTGGTATCGTTTGTTATGCCATGTGATTTACGATCGTGTTACGAGATACTTGGAGCATGCACTCGAATTGACTTTACTTTTCTAACACGGATCTTTTAACCGATATACGTGATCGGGACAACGACGTTGTCCGATTTATATTTATAACTGGTGCTTATTAAAATTAATTACTCCAAATCGGGATTGCTTGTATTTTACGGAGGAAGAATATCTTGATGAAAAATTGATTCAAAATCATTTTTCTTGTATCATTTTTTGATAATTTTTATATTCTTTAAGAAACTACTATCCTATCCGAAAAAACGGTGCAAAGTAGTTATGTGTGATGACATGTAGGAGGAATGTATTTACCAAAGTGGCGCTCATTCATACGCGAGTATGTTGTATTTCATTGATTCTAACGCAAAATTTGCACGAGCCTTTTATAATGTTGTTAGTAAATACATATATGTGTGTGTGTGTATATATATATATATATATATACACATACACATATAAACATATTTATATACGTGTTAAACGTCAAAGCATGAAGGTGATAATTTATAGCTCAATTATAACCGATAATCATATTCTTACTTGCTAACATTTGTTTGAGATGAAATTAACAATGCGCGATATGCAAGACGACTGTGTCTTGCTCTAGCTATAGACGTCTGAACTTAATATAATACTTAACTGACTTTTCATAGAAATCGAAGTTGTATCTCTATGTCCATGTATACGCTTCTACGTGGAATCGTAGCTCTTACTTGGCCAATCTTTAACCGTTCGAGTGACGCTTATATCGGAATATAATACAGGGGATATAGTAGGGGATAGAATTAATTGTGATGTTTGACGTAAAATAGAACGGAGAACGCATTTTGACGTAGAAATACAGGTACGATTCCCTGCATTATCCTGGACACGATAAGAATGTGGAAATAATTGTATGTAATATTTAATCCAGCAGTTGGTACGATTAATAAGGTATCCGAGCATATAACTGATATCCCTTGGAAAGGTATAATCTTAAAGTAAATGAATTTTTATTTATTGCGAAAAGCTATCGCATAGATACTTTAAACGCGTAGTAATATCTGTGAGATATAAAAGTCCTATTAGCGCATAATTGTATTTGGACAATTATTTAAAATAAAAGGTGGCACAGCAGAGATGCGAATCAACGGTACTGGCAGTCGGAAACAGGCGGACAAACAAAGTGAAAAACAGCAACAATCGGAGACATATACCCTCCGTACCGACACTCGTCACCCATCCTACCTCAGCCCGGAACCCCCAGCTCTCTCCGTTGCAGGTCTGTCATTAAAGAAAGAAAGAAAAAAAAAAAAGAAAGAAATAAAAATACATATCTTTTTCATGTGAAATTTTCGATAAAAACCATTAATTTTTTTTTTTTTTCTTTTTTTCCCTTTTTTCAGAGCTGATGAGGTCTCCATTATTGAGGTGGTCGAGCAGAAATTGTCGTAGCTTGCCTCCTACACCTCTACCGAGTTATCATCAACCGCTCCACCCCCCACTCCCCGCGGTGGGCATGGTTGCAGAGAGGAAGAAACGTTTCGAAGTTTAAACTCTGTCCATTTTACGCATTAAATCACTCGAATCATCAATTTATACGCACGAGCCATCGTCTTTTACGATACGCATTCAATGTGACTTTTACGAAAGCGTGCAAATTTCATTGTTGTGTTTTATATGGTGCTAATCCGGTCGCTCTCGTGCACATTATTTCTTAATTTCTTTTCTTTTTCTTTTTCTTTAATCGCGTAGATTGGCTCAGGAATTGAAATGTGTGGAAACTCGGCGGTTTAAAATGCGTTCCTTGTGACTGTTATTCGCGACGATGATTCGGTATATGCGATTCGTAGATAATTAGTATACATTGATAATGTGCAATAAGTCGTGCTCAAGTACGTGCTTACCTTGTATCGCATCACTCTATTGAGCATGTTTATAAGGTAAACATGATTCAATAATAATCGAAACGAGCCTTTAGGCTCGTCAAAGTAGTAGGCGGGTTCTTTACGCCCAACTTCGTTCCAGGTAGCTTACTATACGAGCGTTCATTACACGCCTATTCGTACAATAGGTTGTTTTTGAGAAAGTTTATCAGAAAATTTTTGCTAAGTACATTCGTATACAAGATGGTCGCCAGATTCTCGCGACGACTGACTTTGATATGCATTTAAACTTTGATAACAAGTTTTTCCATAGATACGATTAGTCCCATTCCTATGAACAACTTTGACGAATAATATTTGAGACGCGCTATTTTTCCTTCCTTGTTTAGAAAAAAAAAAAAAAAGAAAAAAAGAACACTTTTTTTACAAGAAGATATTCTGCGCTACAAGCTTGGTGCGATAACTACAATTAACGAACCGGGGGGGGGGGGGGGTAGACGACGAGAACATAAATCGCGCGAGAGTCATGTACACAAGAAAATATTTACGTGATAATCGCTATAGTATTATTGTCTACTATTTCAATGCATACGTATCTCGATGTTATGTCGTCCAATAATAACGATAGGAATCAGTTTGTTGTCTATTTTCCAAATATATACCCAAACATCGCTAGCTTTATTTCTGATTTCGAATTTGACAATGAATTTAAGTTTAATCGTAACAAGCTCAAATTTCTATCATTCTTTTGTGTATATCAATTTTGATTCGAAATCAGGCCTCTGTTATATGAATTTTGTGTTATACACGGAATAAATCTAAATTAATACCAACGTGCAAAACGAGAGAAAGTGAGAAAAGGAAGACTTTCGTTGATTTAGAATCGAAATGAATGTTATGCTTGTTTTTGCTCTTGTTATGTACAGATTTTGCACATAATTATGCAGTTATATCGTCGCATTGTGTATTATCGCATCTTTCATCGTGTAAATGTTTTCAGATTGCGATCATTTGATGTTAATACTGTATAGTTTATGATGTTTTCTCTAAGATATCAAATATAAATAGTTTTGAATTAATCTTTTTCCATTGAAAATGGATCGTTTACTATATATCAATATTGCATTCTACTACTTTACGACCGATCGCGATCCGTTGCAGCGATTCGCTTGCTATTGAAACGGTAAACATGATGTTGAAAAAAAAAAAAATTCATTATCTCTTATGTAATTACTCAGGATTGTTTAACATTTATAATATATTACGATTATGATATTGTATTTGTATTATAATTTATAACACGTTTGAAATAAAATATACAGTAACTATCGTATATTTGTTTCTTTATCTCGCATTCTCTTTATTCTGCTAAATAACAAACTCAAAATCTATCTTGCTATTTTTATTATTTTAATAAATATTACAAGAGAGATTAATATTTATAAAATGAGATGAAAAGAGGAGAATGATTTGATGCATTGTTTTTAAACGTCAGTATTATTATATCGAGATCCAAATCACGCGACGCAAGTAATATCGGTCGAATGGCTGAAAAAATCAAAAGTATAAATAAAGTTTGTACGATTAACAAACACTTTTCTAATAATCTTATTTTCAGAAAAAGTGTAATCCGCCATATGGTTTTATTGAGACATACTATATCATTTTTATTCGGTACATTAACTCGATCGTTAGATTACGCGTGAGATGGGAATAACCTACTACGTCAATCTAGCGCACAGTGATGACTATATTGCCCTTCTAGTTTGTATTTTGTTAATACCTGTTGCTAAAGTCGTACGTATTACGATCGAGAAAGGTGATGATAAACAGCCTTAACAGCAACTTAATATTGTTTCGATGAGAACGGACATTGTCAGACAAGCCCACTTTCTGATTTTCATAGGCCTCTTAATATTTGACAGCTCCACGAAGTCGACCGAAACGGAGATCTGGTAATAGGAGAACATGATACGCAAGAAAGTAATCGTGTATACGTTACGAAGTTGGCCGAAGTAGTGGGCGGGTTTACGTAAACGGCCGAAGTGAATGGACCAATCGCAAGGCAAGACATGAAGCACCTTTACGAAGTCGTACGAAGTACTCTACGTGTGGCTACGAAAAAAGCCGAAGCAAGTCGCTAATTGCGCGATCTTCTTACTCTCATACGTCTCCTCGTATTCTCCCCAGCTCCACGAAATCGGCCGCAACAGAGTTCTTATAACAGGATAATAGAAAGTATAAGGAGGTTAATGCTAACCTCTTGCGATATTATGTTCTCCTTGTAATTCGTTCTTTTTGCGGCCAAAATTCTGTCTTTCACGAACTAGAAGGAAACAATATAGCATCATTTAAAATACATTATAGAACGTTCAAATGATCGTTTTTTGGAGCCGAATAACCTCTTTCGTATATTCTAAGCAAGATGCATTTGAATTTTGAGAAAAAAATTGGCAATAATTTGTATCCTTGTTGAAAGTAAACGGAATAAAATTTACTAAGAGATACGTAAAATATGCGTAATTAATTTTTAACAATTGTTTGTTATAAAATACAAAAGTGCGTGTGTATCTCCTCGCAGTGAGACCTGGACAATCGATATTGTATAATATTGTATGTGAAAATTATTGTTATAAACGAAGCACAAGTATCGTCGAGTTAATATTTAAGTTTATATTAAATTTATCATTATTTCTATAGCAAATGAAAATACATTTGACAAATAATAGTTTTACCTTCTCGTCGACACTAGGCGCTGCAATCAATCCTCTCACGGTCTGTCGGTAAAGTCGAGTGAGAGAGTTTGGAAGCGTTCGGGTTAAGGTTATGTACTTTTATTGTTTCGTCAATTTAATAGCTACGTTTGTTTCTAATAATAAATATTCGTTACAATCCGTTGAGATTCCTATTTAAATAAACGAATACGAGGAATCTGTTGTTATTTTGTCTTAAGTAATTGTTAGTTTTCTGTTTAATCGTATTTAGAGCAGTCAGTATTTGTATTTAAATAAAGAAAAACGTTCCTTGGAAAGCGTTAATTTCTTTATTCGCTGACTGTAAAATTAATCAAAATTTTCCTTTGAAAGCATCATTATACTCTGATAAAATATGATACTCCCAAGAGGACTAACTTGTATCTTACTTAGGCGATATCCAATAACAAGAGTATCTAGTAATTCTTATTTTTGTTGTTACAACGTTGCATTTAATGTTAATGTTAAACAATGTCAATGGTATTCTACGAAAAGGGATGTAACTAAGATAGATTCCAAGGATACTAAAAACAAAGTAAGCACGGATTTTATGGAAGTAGGTAATTTATTTCAAGAATTTTCATGTTATTAACTAACTCTGAAACTCTATTAACATTATATTAAATTTGTTGTTATATTTTAGTTAAGCAAAATACAATATCTGCCGGATACCTAATAATTATAGCAGTGGGCATTACCCTTTCAATCTATATCGGTTATTCCATACTATACGAATTGTTTTCTAGCAAGAGTCCGTATGGAATTTACAATAGAGCTTTGGATCATTGTCAAAAGAATACAAAAGTTCTGGATGCTCTTGGAGAACCCATCAAAGTTTATGGCGAAGGAAGAAGAAGAAGAAATCATTTCAGGTAAGGTAACAGTAATTTTGTTAAAACTCTTACAGAAATAAAAAATATATGTATCAACTTATCGTAGTCATGGTTTCTACGAAAAAGATGGAATGAAATATTTGAGATTGAAATTCTATATGGAAGGGATAAGACGTAGAGGCACCGTATATGTGGAAGCAAAAGTAAGCATCATGTATTGTTTTTTTTTTTTCTTTTTTTTTTTTTTTTTTTTTTTGTATGTGTTACTTCGTTCGTCGTTGCTTCGATCGGTGATCCATATAAGTAGAGATTTCGTTAATCATATAAATACAATTTACGTTTCAGAACGTGTCCGATAATTACGAATTTACATATATATATATGAAGCTGGATGATGTTCTTGGAAGTGTTCTTACAATAGAACATAATGAAAAGTAGGAATCAGCAGTGGCGACGAATGAACGTGGCTGCGTTAATTAATTGTTTACAAGTCTTGCGAATTTTTCAGAGAAAATGAATTGTACATATAGGAGGTATTATTTTATCCATAGAATAATACTCATATCGTATATGAGTGTTATTCATTCATTATTCAAGATATATCGTAACAATAATATATGTAATTATATATAAAATGTCCTAATGTCACGTACACGTGCTTTATCTAGAGAAGAGATGATCATTAAATTCTTATAAATATTTTAGGATTTATATTGCATTTCGTCGTTTAATCGTAACTCGATTAGAAGCTATATAATTCGAAGAACACGTCAACATACTGTTTGTCCTCTTCGTACGAAATTCCATCAAAAGAAAGATATTAAGAAGAAGCACGTGTATTCTACGAGCTCGACAATAGTAATTTCTCAATGTAAGAGCGAGTATACCGAGCGCGGGAGTTCTCTCTCACGCGCTTCTTTGCCAATACCAGTAGAATCGAACTAACAGTCGTGCATCCGTCGGCGAAGTACGAGCGACTCGTTACGCATACGCGATTAAGTATGAAAAAAATCCCACATCAACAGAGAAAATATTTCGTGACCGTCTTATAAAATAGGAATTTTAATTACGTCACAATCGACGGAGACTTTTTCTTCTTCTTTTAAACGATCGCTTAAAACAAGTGCCGATTTAATTATTTTCTCGTATACATATATCGAAGGTGAAAAGAAAATAAAGGAAGAGGATAAAAAGAAAGATTCGTTTAAACAGTTGCGGACTACGGAATCACGTTCGTTGGTAAGGAGTAAAACCAATTATCAATGTCCTTAACGATCATTGATAGATATAACTACGTATAAAATCACGTAATCCTTCTGTAAGGAAATTTATCGGATCGAACGATCGATAAAGAACGCAAACGACATCCAGCGTTATATCCTTGCGATGCACCTTTTGGCCATTACTTCCGCGATGTTTTTTCCCTCGCTCATTTTTTTTCTCTCCAAGAATCTTATATCAATCAGAATCAATAAAAGAGAAGCATCAATATAGAGAAGCATAAAGCATCCTAGTCTTTCGCATATTTTTCATTAGGTTCACTCAAAGAGGAGTAGTAAAAAATCGATAATATCAGGAAGAGGACTGATTATTGATAAATTAATAAAATTATCACGAACGATCGATAAACGAAATGAAGAAGTGTTGTTCCTGCTTTACGGGATTTAAGGCCGTCTTTCAACCTCAAGATAGCGGCACGGCTTTAAAACCGATATGCACCAAACCAGAATGCATGCCTCGACCACCGAATGCTTCCGAATCAGGTAATGATTAATTTACTCTCACGTATCATCAAGCGCTCTTTGATATTTACTCCTACGGTCGTGAGCTATTTCAAGGACAGATGCGAGTTACGCATCTTCCTCGCAAAGGAAAACGATTAATGATAAAATAATTAAGATTCTCGATGAAATAAGGAAATAACATTGGTAAACATTCAAAGAGAATTACATTTAATATCGTCAGAAAGTTAAACGTGCGAACGAGTCGTTGAATTACATCCATTAAGGCTCTTTCATCCTTTCATCGATGTACCAAATTTTATCGATAAGAGACCAGTGGGTTATCAAAATGGCTAGGGAGATATCGAGATGTTTCATAATTTCGATCTTAATGAACTCTCCTTAGTAATGAATTTATTTTTACATCATTTCAAAATCCTTCGCGATAATGTATAAGCGCGTGTCAGTAATATGGCATCACTAATAGAAAGAAAGAACGCCTTATGATTAGCCTAGAAATTATGCGGAAAATGATTTCACTTGCAGGGAGACGCCTATTTTGCCTACGATTATTTCGATATGGTTATATACGCTTACTCCCATCTCTCTCTCTCTCTCTCTCTCGTACAATAATATTTGACCAACCTTATCCTTTTTTCTTCGAATCGATCCATTCATCCGTTCGCAAAGTTCGAATTCGTTCGACAAAAGTTGGCCAAGGTAAAAACACCTCGAACGTTTACGCGCCTTTGGAAATATAATTCGCAAGTGCAACGAGCGACGGTGTTTACATTCTTCGCGGGTGTGAGCGTTTTCTGGTCGATGATGTCATTGGACTCTTACGACGATGCGATGATATTTAAATATCCGTTCGTGCTCGACGATTGACGTCGCTCATTGATCACGTTTCTACGAAAATTATTTATATCCGAGTTTCGAGCTGATAGAGATCCGAAAGGACAACTTTTCTTTTGTATCGAACAATGTTCGAGCGTTCGAGTAACGAGAGAGATAGAGAGAGAGAGAGAGGGAGAGAGAGATTTCTTTCGGGTTAGCCATCCATGAATCGTTTATTTTAATCTCGCTTAACGGAGAAGTGACCTTGACATGAACCCTTGACACGAACCCTTGACACGTTCGGTCGACATTTTTAGAGAAGATAAAAAAGATCTAGAAGAACGTACTTGGACTCGATTCGACTCGACTCGCAAAGGAAATGTAACATTTGTACAAATTTGTACATTCGCAAAGGAATTCATACTCGTTCATTATTTCTATCCGTTAGGCAGTTGAAAGCTCTTAGCCGTCTAAAAAAAGAATTTCGTTAAATCGCGGAGCGCGTTTATTTCCCGTGGCGCCATTCGCGGCCCGTCCCGTCGAACGGAGATAGGTTTAACAATTTTCTAAAGCAAATACACGGATAATACGAGTTTAAACGTATAGAGAGGAGGCCGTGAAATAGTTTCTGGTTGCAAACGGCCAAGAGTCGATCCATCTCTCACGTAATCGGCTGCCAGCGCCTGATTTGAATTATTAAAGGCGCCTTCTCGACGCGCGTGCAATCACTCGATCGCGTTGATCTCGTTTCGAGTCGTACAGATGCGTACCTCTGAGAATTCGATCGTAATCGTCCACTTTGGCAAGTTCGAGTCAGAGAACTCGATTCTTCGAAACCATAGCTAGGAGTGATTCATAACTCGAGTCTCTTTCTCTCTCTCTCTCTCTCTCTCTCTCTCTCTCTCTCGTTAAAATACGTAACAAGTTTTTTCGTCGCGCTTCATTACTTTCTTCTCTCCTACGTTTTCGTCATAATCCATACCTTGCACCTTTTCGTTAGTCGGGATGACGATGCATCCGATAAATATCGATAGAAAGCAACGAGAAATCTTCATAGCTCGTGTATTTTTGCATACCTATAAATACGATTGCGTAAAAATATACGGAAGTAGAGTACGTCATCGGTGTATTATGAGTCAAGCATTGTAGTCCGTCCAAAATTAAATAGAATTGCCTTCGTAAGTGACAAGTAAGAACACTTAAGAGATCGTTAAACGGGGTGTCTCTAGATCGCTTTAACAAACTAATCATAATAGGCTCGGTGGAGTAATCGAGGTGACACGCTCGATCGTCGGAAATATGCGTCATTGACCCACTTGTCACAGATATCTATCGATGATCGGAAGAAATTATAATGCGCAAATCCTTTCTCGATTAAGGATTCGATAAATAAACGCTTAGATTAGTATAGGCGTTTTCTTCGTTGAAAAATAGACGTTCGTCGAAGTGATCGACAAATTTTTCAAGTGCGACTCGACGCAGAACGGAACAGAGCTTTCCGATATGGAGAAAAATATGGCCGATCATTTTCGAAAGCGATTTGAAAATGATCGGCAGAACGATACCTATATGTCTATAGCTATACATTTCGAGTTTATTACCGAAGCTCTTTATTAGCTTCGTTTGACGACTCATTTAACGATCTCTCGTTGGCAATCGATCTTGGCTGGCACGCTCGTTAATTACCCGCTATAAGGAAGCAGGCTCGTATCGAGGATCGAAATCGAAAGTCTTTCTCTCTCTCTCTCTCTCTCTCTCTCTCTCTCTCTCGCTACCTTCGTGATTCCTTTTCGACCGTATCTCGGCTATTCATCCAGCGAATGAGATTCCTTGGAAATTGATCGGGATCTATAGAAATGGGTACTCGAGTGATATCACTTTTCGCAGATCGGTAAATCGTATAGTTCCGCGATAGATCGCGTGGATCGCATAAAACGATAATTAATGGGAGATACAAAGTGGGGAGATACGATCCATCGAAGGATAGAGGAGCGAGCGACCATGTATGGTCGCGTGCACCATGCACGTGCCTCGCACTTCTCCTCCGACTTGAAATGAAACAGTTGCGAATACTGACTTTCAGTACATCTGCGGATCTACTGGAGGACTTTACCGTACCGGCTCCACCGAGCGTCGCGTTACGTCGGTAATCCATATGGATTCGGTTAGGCGCATCTTTACGAGACGTCTACCATCCGAACCAATTCCCAATCGTCGCAGAATGTTTTACAGATTTTACGATCGTTACCGCATATTCAACGATCGACACTTCAGACCGTTTCCCTTTAGATTTCATTGTGAGTTCGTTGCGCCGTTAAACGCGCCGTCTACGCGCAACCCTCTAATCTTCTTCGATATTTTTCTTTTATTTTTTAGGGGAACATTATAACGTGCCGATTTTGACGATTCGTCACATTGATCCTTGCATAGAAGAGAATGGAAACGATCACAAAACTTTGAGATACGAACTGATGACGCGCCATGGGGACGAAGCGAGACTCGTCGTCAGGCGCGGTCAACCCTTTTACTTGCATTTGACATTATCGAGGGACTACGATCCTAGCATAGACGGTATTTCTCTCATTTTTACCGTCGACGGTGTGGAGCAGCCTCAATACGGTCATGGCACCCTCGTCGCTACTCCCGTTCTCGAGCCAGGAGAATATTCCGAAGCTTCCTGGCAAACCACCATAGACGCAATAGAGCCGGCCTTTATACGGCTTAAGGTACACGATGGAACGATAACTTTTTCAGTGGTGCCACGTATCCATCTTGACAACGTTATTTTCATAGATCACACCTTCGCCGAAAGCCATCGTTGGCAAATGGAAGATGGATATCGATACTAAAAATAAAGAATCGGAAGGTGCGGTGAGCTACACAATGGATCATCCCTTTTACATTATTTTCAATCCGTGGTGCGAAGGTACGTCGACATTTCTTTTTTCACGAGATCATGGTTTGTTTATTGGTTTGTTATTTCTTCGGAATCTTGTAGACGATACGGTTTACATGGAGGACGAAGCACGAAAGCAAGAGTACGTTATGGCCGACGACGGTTTGATTTGGCGCGGTAGTTACAATCGTTTGAGACCAACCGTATGGAAATACTCGCAATTCGAACGCGATATATTGGATTGCGCTTTGCATCTTATGATAAACGTCGGAAAGGTTCGAATTAACGGACGAAACGATCCCGTCGTAGTGTCTCGCATTCTATCGGCAGCTGTGAGTATGAAGTATCATTAATGTTAATTTTTAATGCCTTCGCACGGGCAGGCACAAACATTGCCTATCGGAGGGGCGACCATTCGTTCGTTAAAAGGATAAAACGCGAGAATAGGAAGGAATTTTATAGCACGATTTTTTCATGCCATCTTATTGGCCTTAGGTAAATTCGCCGGATGATAACGGAGCCGTGATGGGTAATTGGTCGGACGATTACGAGGGTGGAACGCCACCGACGAAATGGATGGGCTCGCAAAAGATCCTTCAGCAGTATTACAAGACGAAGAAGCCCGTTAAATATGGCCAGTGTTGGGTATTTTCCGGAGTATTAGCCACCGTTTGCCGTACTCTTGGTATACCCTGCCGAGTGGTAACCAATTATTCCAGCGCCCACGACACTCAGAGTAGCTTGACGGTCGATTATTTCGTCGACGCGGAGGGCAAAATTATGGAGGAACTTAACAG